CACAGAAAATCTCCAAGAGCATGCCTTGCCACTGAACAAAACATACCAGTGCCTTTAATATGCTATTATCTCTGCCCAGAATATCCTTCCCTAGCTTTTTCACATAAAAAAATTTTACTTATCACATATGATCCAGTTCAAATATCATGTAATCTGTTAAGACTTTTCTTGGCTTCCCTGCATTCCTTTTTCTGAGTTCCCACACTAATTTGTGGGCGCCTCCACTATAGCTCTTAACAAATTATATAGTAATTCTCTGTTTATGTATCTGACTCCCCAGCTAGACCTTGAGTAGTCCAGCCAAGGACTACGTCTCAGGTGTTTTATCATCCCTGGTTCTTGACCTTCTGAAAGAGTTCTCAATCCATGATCAGGACAGGTAAAATCCCAGCTATTTAACAGTTTCTTTAACTCAAAGATGGAATATAATAATCGTGGGCACTCGCAGGAAAACCTTAGCCATTTAGAAGACAGGAAAACTTTTTGGCTTGAAATTACCTATATCCAGTTGGACACTTCTTAATTTGCTTGAATAAATCTAGGTCATATCCTTAAATTAATCAACAATTTGATGTACATATCTTTGGGTAAATATCTGTTTCAGCTTTCTTGTTATATTCCGAGCTCTTGGAGAGCAGAGACCAGGTCTTACTCACCTGTACATAACCCATACCACCTGTGCCAGGTAAACATTCAATAAATGATAGTTAAATCGAACTCCCAAAATGAGTTGTGTCTTAGTTGGGGCTGCCATAACAAAATGCCATAGACTGGGTAGCTTAAACAACAAACCTTTATTCCTCACAGTTCTGGAGGCTAGAAAGTCCAAGATCACAGTGCTGGCATATTCAGTGTTTGGTGAGGGCCCTCTTCCTGGTTTGTAGATGGCCATCTTCTTGCTGTATCCTCACATGGAGGAGAGGGAGGGGGCTCTCATCTCCTCCTCTTCTTATAAGGTCACTAATCCCATCATGGGGGCTCCACCCTCATGACCTCCCCTAAACCTAATCACCTCTCAAAGGCCCCACCTCCAAATACCATCGCATGGGGGATTAGGGCTTCAACATATGAATATTAGGGGGACACAAACATTCAGTCCATAGCAAGTTGCCACAATGATATCTGGCCACATGTTTTAATGTTCCATTTGTATGTCTGCAAGGAAACCAAGATAAATTCAACTTGATTTTCAGAAAAGAATCAAAGAGGGAAAATACTTTCCCTGACAAAATGCCTCCAACACAGAAACACATTCTGCAAATTAAATCTCTGAAACAGCTACCATTCTAATCAGGCAAGTTAATTTAGAGAAAAGAGCAGAACATGCCTCATACCTCCCTTGTTTTGACTGGGGACCCAGAATCCTCATCTCACTCCCATGAGGATGATTCCTGGCTTATCTAAACCACCCCCCAGGAGGGCCAGGGACACACTGCTATATCTCCTCCTCCAGAGGGACACATGCGGGGAGCAGGGACTAGGCAGATCCCTTGTCCTTCTGTCCTCTCCAAAATAAAATGTACAGTATTTTAAGGGAAAAAAATCCTATATGAACACAAACTTTTCACTACTTTATCAATACTTGAAGGGGGTGAAAGGGAGTGGGGCAGCTTTGTACATTTAAACATTAAAGAAATGCCCATGGAATGAATCAATGTCCAGATTTCAAATAACTAGAACACTAATTTCCAGGTTTTTCTTAAAATGGCTGCAAACCATGGTACAGATGTTAGCATAACTTCTCTATAAACATTTAAGAGTGAAACACTTTTATTAATGAAAAGTAGGAGGGGGAGGAGTGGAGGGAAAGCTGGTGAGTGGATTTTGTGCATAATTATAGCATACTTGCCACTGGCTTCATTTGGAGAGTTAACATATTCCACACAAGGATTTACTGGCCAGTTTCTACCCAGACAGACACACCTTGTCAGTTTTAGGAATCTGACATCTGCAGGTGAGAGACTATTTCTAATACACTTGAAAGCCACCATATAGCCAGGCTTCAGGCTACATTAAATTCCTTGCTTCCTTCCTCTTAGTCTTTTTTCTCAGGTTTTCATTTGTAATTGTATTATTTCCTTCTTCTTCCTCTTCTTTCCTCTCCTCTAACTGTTTATTAAGTTTTCCATCTTTCTTCAGCATGGAATTCTGAACTCTATAAAGAATACTCTACCCTCAAGACTTTCAGTGTAAACTATGCGTATTATTGCATAGCCTAGTATCAGTAACCCAAACAACAAATATTCTGAATTTAAAAATAGATATTACACTGCTGGTTTACCTGTCCAGATATAATAAAGTCTCAGATCACAACCATACAAAATTTTACCAATAAATTTTAAGAAGTTTAATACAAAAATTAAAAATTAAAATTTGAAATACAAAAATATTGTAATTTTTTCTGATCAATGTACCCTGCTTTTATTTTGCAATCTTCCATGTTTCAGCTTTTTCTCAGAAACTCATAGGTTAAACATGAAGCTATGAATTTAGCTTTCTGGTGAATTATATGCAAAAGGTTTTTTTTTCTTTTCCATTTTATCCAAATGTCAAAATAAATATTTTTTTCCATTCCTCTGCCACTATTATTCCATGTCCTTACACTGCCAGAAAAGGGGGTAGGAGGTCACTGCAATGGACTCTACTGGAGGCTCCTTAGATCCTGCCTTCGTCATGAAATATAAGCACTCCTCTAGAGAAAGGTTTTTCCTGCTTGGGTTATATTCCACTAGTGTTACATATTCTGTGATATCTCCATAGCTGCTTCTGTCACTATCTAAAATACTTTAGTTTTTTTCTCCCCCAGGGAAACTTATACATAATTGAGTCCTGATTTCCAAAGTCTCTTTGTATCTATATCCCAAAATTTGCCAAAATGTCATCTGGGATCTTACTGGAAAGAACAGGTGATCTGTACTGAATATGAGGGCAATTGCTCTGGACTCCAGAAAGGTTCCAGGATAAAACGTCATAAATCTCACTCTTCTAGAATCCTCCCTACGTGTTCTTTCAGGACAGAGGCTAATTAATCAAACAGAAGAGCTGACTGCATCCCAGAAAATACACTGCCCTAAATATCTATCTTACATGTTTCTTTTAAGTTAGAATTATCACTTTCATTAACACCAACTGGGCTCATTAGTGAATTTAACATGAATTCTTTATTGGAAGTCACACATTATCATGTGAAATGAGAAAAAATAAACTCATAATAAAATATCAAGCCATGCATTCTTACTAAAAACAAATAAGCTTAATGAGAAAGATATCATTTACAGCTAATATTTTACCATTAATTTATAAGTGGAATTTATACTCAATTTTTTTTTTTATTTTATTTTTCCCCCCAAAGCCCCAGTGGATAGTTGTATGCCGTAGCTGCACATCCTTCTAGTTGCTGTATGCGGGACTCGGCCTCAGGATGAACGGAGAAGTGGTGCCTCGATGCGCACCCGGGATCCGAACCCGGACCACCAGCATCGCAGCGCGCGCACTTAACCACCAAGCCACAGGGCCGGCCCTATACTCAATTTTTTAAAGTAATTTGTTTTTGCTGGTGGATGCCAAACTAGTATTTAGATACTAGAAAATTTTAGTATTTTAGTATCTAAGAAAGCAAAGCGTGTTCACATTTGTTTTGTTCTTATATTTTCACAGTGTCCATGAGTTAGAGATAATAACACGACTCCATTTTAACACATGGAAAACGGGGTTCATCATGAGAGACACACAGGGAAGTCTGGGGCTTGATTCATTCACCACTGGCCAACACCAAGTTAACACCACTAGAGCCAATTTCTCCTGCCGCCTGGTCCCAGACACATTCTGAATTACAAACGAGAAAAAGAACATTGCCAACCAAAAATAAAATGTAACTAATGTAAATTTCTTTGGAATAGGAATCATCAGGGACATTTTGACCAAAGAAGGTATAGCCTGAAACTCAAGAGAGCTTATCTCAACAGTAACATTCAAATACACAACTGAAGGCCAGAAAGATAAGTAATGAAGGTTTGGAAGAAAGAAGCAATCAGTAGTATATATGAAATATTTTTAAATGTCCCATATATTTTGAAAAGGACAATATTCTGTGTCTAAATTTTTTCCCTTTGCCAGAATGATAATAATTAAAGAGAAAAAAAATGTTTTTTAGCTTCTCTAAAAATGAAAACTTGCAAGTTTAGCAAACTCCACAGAGGGTAGATCAAAAGTCTCTAATATTTGATACTCTGCACCATACAAAATTTTTTGACAAGATGTAATTTTTATAGTCTAAGAGACTTAACGCAAAACACGTATCTGCCCACAAGAAGTAAGAGAACAAAAAAGCTCAAAAAGTAAAGACATTTTTAGACACAAAATACTATAGGAAGAAGAGAAATGTGGACTTCTTCCTAAAATTCAGTGGTTCTCAAACTTTCATATGCATCAGAATCATCTAGAAGACTTGATAAAACAGATTGTTGGGCCTCACCCCAGAGAATCCGATTCAGTAGTTCTCGTGTAGGGCCTGAGGATTTACATTTTAACAAGTTTCCAAGTGATGATGATAATGATGATGATGATGATGCTAACCTGGGGATGACACTTCGAGAACCACTGCTTTAAAACTTAGTCACTTACTCAAACACTGTAGCAGTCTTAGTATACTTTGTCTAATCTCTCCCAATGAATATCTTGTATTCTTTGTGTCAGCTAGTGTTTCTACTGACAAACAACATCACTTCTTAATTAAAGTATTACTTCAGAATATCCTCCTCATCATCTCTAAGTTGCACACCACTTTTTAGAGCATCACAATCTCATAGATAATTAATACACAAAAATAAAAATATTGTTACATATGTATAATAACTTTAGTTCTCAATGTACAAATTTGACAGTAAAAGAGTAAGATGAATAGGGTATTTGAAGACTCATTGGTAGCTAGGACTTTTGATTTGATGCTAGAAACAACAAAGTTTGGGTACAAGTGAGCAGCCTCCATCCTCGGGGCTTACCTGTGACTGGTGCATCAATATCCAGCAAATTTTTTTCCTGTCGAAGGATTGAAGCCCCCTCTGTTATTATTCTCAATGCAACACTCTCTTCCAGCCTGCCTTCCTTCATGAGATGTGCCTTTAAGATATCCACACGAGGTTTCCCATCATTATCAAACACTTCTTTTGCTGTAAGCCGGTGACTTGGAGGAAATGGGACAGCTGAAAGAGAAAAAGACAAATTATTACTTTAGCCAAAATTCAACAACAAAAGATTCATTAATAACCACCAAAGGGCCGGCCCCATGGCTTAGCGGTTAAGTGCGTGCGCTCCGCTGCTGGCGGCCCGGGTTCGGATCCCGGGTGTGCATCGACGCACCTCTTCTCCGGCCATGCTGAGGCCGTGTCCCACATGCAGCAACTAGAAGGATGTGCAGCTATGACATACAACTATCTACTGGGGCTTTGGGGGGAAAAATAAAAAAACCTTAAAAAAAAAAAAAAAATAACCACCAAATATCTATTCCTAGCACTAACCACGTTTTGGAGTATTTCAAAAGTTCCCACATTAAAATATGATCAAGGGCTATCAAGAATTAAAGACTACCTTCTTCCTTTGATTCTAGACATAATGTGGTTGCTAAAAGGACATTCATAGTTCTTATTCATCCAGTATCTATCTCTTGCATCTAGAAGATCCTGATTGAGTTAATAAAGAAAAAAGAGGGAGATATGTTTCTGTTAGGCAATAATCAATTCAGCACAGAAAATACTTCCTATACATTCACCCATAACTGACTCGGGAGAAGATGTTTCTCCACTAGAAAGCAGGCTCCTCTACTTGGATTAGAGCAACGGGAAAAGGTCTGCCAGACCCGATTTGTCCCTTCAACTAGAGTAACGTCTCTGAGTAACCTGATTGCCTCACTGTTTAAGGAGAGAGCAGGAATCTTAGAGCAAAAGGCAAAAACACACTGAATCTTGGACAGGAAATCAGGATTTGTGTGAACAGGGAGGGGCAGTACCTGGCAGGGAGGAGACACAGGTATTTAGGAATATGATACAACGACAAACTCCCTGTACTGCTCAGACTTAGAACCAACCGTTCTCTCTTGCACCCCATGCCTTCCTCACAGTAAGGAGCTCTCTTGCAGCTACTGTCATTCTTTACATCTGTTAATACATTCATTCACTCACGCAGCCAGGGGATAGTCACTAAATTCATACAGTGTGCAGGACATCCAAAGGTCCACGGTCAGAGATGGCAATCATGAATGTTACATTTCTGATAAATAGCTCATAAGCCCCTTCAGTGAGGGAAACTCATCATTTCTGTTTCACCTGTGAGTTCATTTACTGGACAACTCAGATCTATTAGAAATATCTGAAAGCAGCACCAACACAGTTTCACATAACTTCCATCTACCAGATGCACCACGCCATATGCATGAGAACATCTCCACAGGATGGTTCCTCTCTTAAAAATAACACCTGATGTTAAATAATAAACCTAGCCCTCTCACTTCCTAGAAGTGTCTCTCAAAGAAGCAAGATTTATGGTAGACCTATGCCAAGAAATTTGCAATCTAATAGCACAGATTTGTTACCCAAGAGAAATTATAACTCTTTAAGGAAAAAGAAAACTCAGGAAGTGAACCTGTGCTGATGGATGCACGCTTGATTGTCCTAACAGTCCAAGCGTGTCTGTTTAACTACGCTGCCGAATGAGGCAGCCGTGGCAGACTCAGGGCATGAGGATGAGGCCTGCGTAGTCAGACGAACCTGGGTGCAAACTTGGCTCTGCACACTCACCAGCTGTATGACCCTGGGCAAGTCAAATAACCTCCTTTGGCTTCAGTTACCTCACCTATATTTATCTGAGGAGTGTCATAATAACTAAAATAAATAGTAACAGTAGTAGGTAACATTTATAGAGTGTTTATTTTATGCCAGGCATTGCTCGGGTAATAAAGTCAGATACAACAGAAAAGCTGTAAGATGAGTAATGCATAGGTACACGTGTTTATATATAAACGTATTTAGTCCCCATAACGTTACTGTAGAGGAGAAACTTGAGGCTCAAAAACATTACGCGCCTTGCCCAAGATAATCACCTAGTGATTTATATGCAGACCCAGTGAGCGTAAACCCCGGCAGTCTGGTGCCAGAGCACCTGTGTTAACAACCACACTACACTGCTCTCCAGAAAGCACTTCAGACATTGCTTAATAATTAAAGAGTGATGGGCAAATTATTTTTTAGAATTGAAATTCTAATACTGAGATGTGTTTCTTATAAAAACCACTTTTATTTTCAAAAATTATTTTAGGAAGCTTATAGTAGAATAGATACTATAACACAAAAGCATGATGTAAAATAGCAGACAAAACATATAATGCCAAAGCATAGCGTGAAAAAGAAAATTTAAGAATTAAACAAAGAGAAGAAAAAAGAGGAAACAAGCCCGTTAGATTTCAGGCATTTGGGGATCATCTTGTTCATTTTGTTTCCCTGCCCTCCCTGCTTTCCGTGGCTAACATATACACTTGTTAAGAAAACATGGAAACATTTCGATAGCCACATTTCTTTACCTGGGTCTTTATGTATGGTTTGAAATTAGAAAATATCCTACCTGGCAACTCTTCAGAATTCCCCAGATACAGGATGGGGGATAGAGCAGGGGATGCCAAAAGGACGCCAGGAGCGGGGCCAGGAGCTGACTGTTTTAGAATGATGTCCTAAAGTACAGGCAGGACAACTGTGAAGGTGTAAGTGGTTCTGCACAACTGCCAGGCCAGAGTCCTAAGAGCCTGGAAGGGAAGGAGGCTGATTTATGGTCAGACAGATAAAAGCAGTGGGTCTCTGCCACCCACCATAGCTGGCCTTATGAAACTGAAGACAGATCAAAGGTTAAACCTGAAAGAGCCCAAGTATTGACAAAGGGGAAAGGCAAAAGGAGAGCACCACAGGGAGGGCATCACCTTCATGGCTGGACTCTCTCCAGGTCCCAGACTCCCTCCAAGCCAAGATCACTGCAGTAACAGATGCTCCACCCCCGCTACAGATCCTCCTAAGGTACCTGGCTAAGGTAAAGCCACCTGCTGAGATACTAGAGCTGGTTCCCAATAAACAGGGGCCAGAAAAGAGAGGAAAAATGCCAGTCAGAGGGCTCTGTTTTCAATTGGAGGATGGGGACACTGATGAAATGGGGCCCTTTACCCATTGAACAGATGGCAAGGCCTGCAGGGAACCGAGATGGGCAGCACCGATGCCAAAGTTTGAACACAGAGATGATATCATCAGAGGGAAGTTTTCTGGGACAAAAATAAAAGTGGGCTAATATTTGTGTATTTGTGCACCTTTCGGCTTCATAAAGAAAATACAAGCCTTACAAAGGTCACATTTATGCACTTTCTCTATTCACCTGGAATCCTACATGCAGACCTATGCCAAATCTTGAGGAAAATCTGCTTGGATTAAAGAATTCAATGTGCTCAGAAAACATTTCTTTCATTAACTTGTTGTAAAAGTGGCTGTGCTCAATACGATAAAATTGGATTTCTCTCCCTCCTTTGCTTGAAGTATTACAGGTTGCCTTCATTGATGCATGAGCAGGCCAGGACTGGAGGAATTAAGTGTGTGCGTGCTAGGAAAAATTCAGAAATAACTGTTGATATCTCAGCTGACTCTTTCCAAAACAATTTACTTACAGTTGCCTATTAAGTACAGAATATGGTGTTATAATAGACTTCTTAGAAGCATCCTAAAAATTGAGGTATTTTATTTCCTCAGCTTTCTCCACTTCACAATTCCCACTCAATGTCACTTTTTTCCCCCAAATGCAACAGCAAAGTAGCTAAAATCTGGGACACGTAAGTCCTTGGCTGACTCCTAACACAAACCACCACAGAAGGCTTTAACAGTGAACAACATGGTGGATTGGGATCACGTTCCCCTGGCCTGGACTGCGGAAATCGGCAAAGACTGATTTCCAGTGAACAAGATCTGATGTTGTTTCTTTTCTATTTGTTGTTGCCACCAGAGTTCATCTATCTGATATGGAGAAAGGTTACTACTCTGGGAACCAGAATCACGTGCAACTAATACTGCCATCTCTATAACAATCATTGGAGTTGTCAGTTACGCATTCACCGGTAGAGAAACACATTTCCCGTCAGAAAAGCCTTGTAGCCAGAGGAATCCCAGCCCTCCGGTCTGCCTGACTACGGGGACCACACCTCAGAAGGAGTCAGGGGTCTCCTCTTGAGATTTGGGCTGGGTCAGTTTTAGAAGACTGCTAGGTGCCTCGGTAGCCGTAAGTGATCTGTTACCACTCTGGGGTGGATCCAGGTATCAGAGATTTCTGTTCCTCAAATCTGAGCCATTTTAGCCACTGCTATTTGATAGGAAACATCCAAGAGTCTTGTCATGGTGACACATTCACTGGAAAGAAGGACAGGACTCCTGCTGCCTGACCTCTTCCTGCAGCCGTCTTAGAAATGCTGACAGGAGAGAATCACAGACTGAAGAAAACACTTAGCCTAGCGATCTTTTTCAAACCTGTGTTTTGCTTTAAAAAATTTTTTTTTTGTTTTTATCCTCAAACAAAATGACACCTGAAAACTCAAGTACATATATCCCGAGGAAGAAGAGCCTAAAGCAGCTTGCTTGCCTCTCCTCTTCTCTATGCTGGCTGTTCAGGCGTGCTCACCAAGGCCTGGGGCACTTGGGAGCAAAATCAGAAAACTCCCAATTTAGACCGATTCTTGACCCCCCTCACATTAAATGAAGGAAGCTGAAATCCAGACCGAGGATAAGTGCAGCGTCCACGGTCAAAGCATTAGTCAGTGGCAAGACCAACAGTACGGCCTCCCGTTTCTGCTCCAGCACTTCGCCCTCTAGATCTGCTCCGTCCAGCACAGAGGTGACCAGACACAGGAGGCTGTGGAACATCTGCAAAGTGGCTGGTCTAAACCAAGACGGCTGCAAGCCTGCAATACGCCCTGGACGCAGAACACCTGATACGAGGAAAAACAGAATAAAATATCTCCTCAATTTGTTTATACTGATTACAGGTTGAAATAACATGATTTAGGATATATTGGGCTAAATAACATTTATTATTAAAATTGTTTCGACCTATTCCTCTTTACAGCTACTAGAACATTTACGATTACATAAATGGCTTGTATTAGATTATTCATGGACAGTGATGCATCCTT